ACAGCAAAAAAGAATTATTTTATTCTTGTCAATGAAATTATCACATTAAGAAGTTACAAATTAGAAACAGTACATCCCTCTGGGCTCAGGTAAGTGACAAGTCATTTCAAGTCTTTTTGAACCAGTTTTTCTTAAACTTCCTAGTTCTATTTTAGTCACTGCAGCAAATGTAGTATGATTGTAATACAAAGTGATGTTAGACAACCATTTTTAATGCCAATTTAAAATGCAACATTGTTGCGTTAAAAATCAGTATCTTGTAACATGGCACACAGGGTGGTGTTTAACACAACATACTGTTGCTGACCATTACAGCAACAAAGTTGCATTAAGAGTTGTCTCGTATAACATGGATTACAAAAATGAGATTGCTAAGGGCAAGATGGCGGTACAGACATGTCAGTAAGAGCTCCGCACTTGTTTTGTTTGTTATGTTTTTTTGTTGTTGTTGTTTTAATAGTTCATTTATTGATACAAACATCATACAATATTGCAACAAATTACGAAAGTAGTGCATGAAAAAACAAATATTTTTGTGTTTCTAGCTTTGTATAAGTGTATATAACTGGGGGAGAGGGCAACATAGTCACGTCAAGTATGATGTCTGTTTCAAGCTGGATAATAAATTTGGATATGAATTCAGAAGTATCTTGTTTCTTTTCCATTGTTTTGCAAGCATAATGGTACCACTTTGCATATAACAGAAGAAGACGCAAATCCTTTTATCCTGTTTATCGGAAAGATTGGTGGTTGGTGTTGGTAAATTGAGAAAGTATTGTAGCAAGGTGGGGCTGACATCAATTTTTTTGTAAGCTATTGAACCATCAAAGAGATTATGTGACTCCTCACATAATTTCAAGAAAGATTGACGTAATATATCCAACATGAAAGACTATGTTTGACCACATTTCCAAACACTGAGAAGAGAGTTGAAAATACAATGCCCAGCGGAGTATTTTTGACGAACTTCGAGGTGTTTGGAAATGTGGTCAAACACTGTCTTGAGTGTTTGATATATCTTCTCAATCAAAACTAAAACTAAGGAGAAAACAGAGAAATAACATCATAAAAAATCTATGCTAATTAAGATCATATTTCAAAACACTGTCACGGTCGTGATTTCCTTTGTTTAAACTTGATGAATTATTAGTGAGTTTGAGAAATTCAAAGAATGCATGTTCAATAGAGTTATTTTTGCCGCACATACCGTAACACATTTGACACAATCAGTTATCCCAAATCATTTGAGTTCTTTATTTGTGACTCAGTATTCTGCGCAACAACTTGAAACAGAATTGTCAGTGTATTATCCCCAAGTGATTTCATAATTGTTTTGGATGTAGTTCACCCAATTGTCAGCAGCTTCAGGACAATTTTTCCGCCATGATTTAGTTGCTGTAGGTTCTGTATTAATTCCCTCTACGAAAAGTTTATAACTCTGCTTGCAGAACGTTTTCTTTAAATTGAGAGTGATATCTTTAGATAGTTGGAAATCAAAGTTTTTGCAAATTGAGTTCAGATCACCAAGGTCCACATGAGCTAATGCGTTACGTTTAAGATAAGCAGGAATAGCTGTGGTGATTTGGTAGTATTGCAGAAAGTTAACTTTGATGTTATGTTTATCACTGAATTCTTACGGCGAAAAAGAATTACCTTGATTGTTCAGCAAGTGTTGCACAAAGAGAACATTTTTATCCCACCAGGCCTTCAAAAAGACCAATTTGTTTTCAGTATTTATATCTCTGTTGTTCCACAAAATGAATTCGTGTCTCAGTGGATCACGCTTGAAAGTAATCAAGGAGTTCTCGATACAAGAGGGGGATATTTCTGTCCAGTTTCTCAACACTGTAGCTGCAGTTTAGAAGAAAAAGGATTCCACCATGTTTATTGAAGTAGTAATTAGGGATTGCCTTGCAGGTGTCATGAGTGTTATCTAAGAGTCTACTTATGCAACTGAGACATAGTGCTTTTATAACAGTCCTGAAGTTAGGAAAGCTTAGCCCACCCTTAGACATGGGACGGAACAGAACCTGTCGCTTGATCTTATCTCTCCTATTCTTCTATAGAAAAGCAAATAGTTTATTGTATCACATCTTCTTTCAGAATACAGTCATGTGGGATGGGTAAAGTCAGAGATTTGGTCTTCTAAGGATAATACTTTTCTAGAAAGGGGAAAAATCCTCAGTGCAGAACTTCATGTCACCCCAAGAAGAAGTCAAAATTTCCTCTTAAGGTTACTGTAGACCTTCAAGGGCCTATTCTGTCCAAACCTTTTTTTTTACACCAAATTCAAGACTTTTACTTTATCTGAATTTTCCAAAAAAAATTATTTCAAAAACTTAAAATGCAAACGAGTTATCCACAAAAACGTAAATTCTTAAAACGGGTCAATGAACCACAAACTGTGATAAGCCAATTAAAATGTGTCAACCTTTGAGTTGAGCAGTAACAAGTTTTGCAGCAACTGATCTCATCCGCGGAGTTGTATTTCGCTTCTTTTATTTACATCTTGCAATTTCTCGCAGAGAAATCTTCACTTTTGTTGATTGTTTTCGTTTCTTAACTGATAGACTAGGCACTTCACGTTCCCACATTTAAACGCGAGCGCAAATCGCAAGCAAATGTCTTGTTGATGCCCTGCTCTAGCTTCTTCTGGTACAAAAGTTGATTGCCGCGGAATTACCGACGAATTTAATCGCTAATATCTAACAAGACAGCTCCAAACACTCCTTTCCCCTGCTTTATAGAGTGTTTTTCCATATTCTACTAAAACAAACAGGCTGATGAATTGCGCGTTTAGTTTTTTTCGTAAATGTGTAAATATCCGCACTCGACTCGGCTCGC